TTCTTGCATCGAATTGCACGTTTGGCCTTCAACTATTCATCCAAGCGCCAACAGCGAGCTGACTCGTCCAAACAAGTCACCAGCCATCGCCAAACACCCGAGTCTTTTGACGTCGAGACGACACCAGCACACAAACGGCAAAACCGGCGTGGTGGTAGGACGAGCTCGACAGATCGACGATTGTGCCGCTGGCTTCAGTCGACGGTTGAGGGGTGTCTGCTGTTTGACTACGCCGTAAAGCGAGCTTGTCCCGCAATGAGTCGGGCTACGAGGTAGGCTAAGCAGCCCTAAACAGTAGTCCTGCGCAGCTGTTGGAAACAGAGCCAGATGTATGGTTTGCCTCGCGGAGAAGCATAATGGTGCGCTGTTGTCGTAGGCGCCCCAGCACAGCGTGCGAGTGGAGGTGAGTCGAACAAAGAGTTGGACACGAACGCGAGTGCTTCCGCTTGCAAGCGGACGCGCTACCACTGCGCTATGCGCCCAGCAAATCGATAACCTAACCTCCACCTTTGACACGAATTTATGACGCCCCCACGCGCGATATAGTCACGCATTCACATACAGCACATTTGCATGCACTTGCACTATCCTCTACCACCCGCTTCTTGCATCGAATTGCACGTTTGGCCTTCAACTATTCATCCAAGCGCCAACAGCGAGCTGACTCGTCCAAACAAGTCACCAGCCATCGCCACACACCCGAGTCTTTTGACGTCGAGACGACACCAGCACACAAACGGCAAAACCGGCGTGGTGGTAGGACGAACTCGACAGATCGACGATTGTGCCGCTGGCTTCAGTCGACGGTTGAGGGGTGTCTGCTGTTTGACTACGCCGTAAAGCGAGCTTGTCCCGCAATGAGTCGGGCTACGAGGTAGGCTAAGCAGCCCTAACCAGTAGTCCTGCGCAGCTGTTGGAAACAGAGCCAGATGTATGGTTTGCCTCGCGGAGAAGCATAATGGCGCGGTGTTGTCGTAGGCGCCCCAGCACAGCGTGCAAGTGGAGGTGAGTCGAACAAAGAGTTGGACACACCGGGGATTGAACCCGGGGCCTTCCGCTTGCAAAGCGGACGCGCTACCACTGCGCTATGCGCCCAGCAAATCGATAACCTAACCTCCACCTTCCACACGAATTTATGACGCCCCCACGCGCGATATAGTCACGCATTCACATACAGCACATTTGCATGCACTTGCACTATCCTCTACCACCCGCTTCTTGCATCGAATTGCACGTTTGGCCTTCAACTATTCATCCAAGCGCCAACAGCGAGCTGACTCGTCCAAACAAGTCACCAGCCATCGCCACACACCCGAGTCGTTTGACGTCGAGACTACACCAACACACAAACGGCAAAACCGGCGTGGTGGTAGGACGAACTCGACAGATCGACGATTGTGCCGCTGGCTTCAGTCGACGGTTGAGGGGTGTCTGCTGTTTGACTACGCCGTAAAGCGAGCTTGTCCCGCAATGAGTCGGGCTACGAGGTAGACTAAGCAGCCCTAACCAGTAGTCCTGCGCAGCTGTTGGAAACAGAGCCAGATGTATGGTTTGCCTCGCGGAGAAGCATAATGGCGCGGTGTTGTCGTAGGCGCCCCAGCAGCGTGCGAGTGGAGGTGAGTCGAACAAGGAGTTGGACACACCGGGGATTGACCGGGGCCCATTCTGCTTGCGAAGCGGACGCGCTACCACTGCGCTATGCGCCCAGCAAATCGATAACCTAACCTCCACCTTCCACACGAATTTATCACGCCCCCACGCGCGATATAGTCACGCATTCACATACAGCACATTTGCATGCGCTTGCACTATCCTCTACCACCCGCTTCTTGCATCGAATTGCACGTTTGGCCTTCAACTATTCATCCAAGCGCCAACAGCGAGCTGACTCGTCCAAACAAGTCACCAGCCATCGCCACACACCCGAGTCTTTTGACGTCGAGACGACACCAACACACAAACGGCAAAACCGGCGTGGTGGTAGGACGAACTCGACAGATCGACGATTGTGCCGCTGGCTTCAGTCGACGGTTGAGGGGTGTCTGCTGTTTGACTACGCCGTAAAGCGAGCTTGTCCCGCAATGAGTCGGGCTACGAGGTAGGCTAAGCAGCCCTAACCAGTAGTCCTGCGCAGCTGTTGGAAACAGAGCCAGATGTATGGTTTGCCTCGCGGAGAAGCATAATGGCGCGGTGTTGTCGTAGGCGCCCCAGCACAGCGTGCGAGTGGAGGTGAGTCGAACAAAGAGTTGGACACACCGGGGATTGAACCCGGGGCCTTCCGCTTGCAAAGCGGACGCGCTACCACTGCGCTATGCGCCCAGCAAATCGATAACCTAACCTCCACCTTTGACACGAATTTATGACGGCGCCACGCGCGATATAGTCACGCATTCACATACAGCACATTTGCATGCACTTGCACTATCCTCTACCACCCGCTTCTTGCATCGAATTGCACGTTTGGCCTTCAACTATTCATCCAAGCGCCAACAGCGAGCTGACTCGTGCCCTAACCAGTAGTCTTGCGCAGCTGTTGAAAACAGAGCCAGATGTATGGTTTGCCTTGCGGAGAAGCATAATGGCGCGGTGTTGTCGTAGGCGCCTCAGCACAGCGTGCAGTGGAGGTGAGTCGAACAAAGAGTTGGACACACCGGGGATTAAACCCGGGGCCTTCCGCTTGCAAAGTGAACGCGCTACCACTGCGCTATGCGGCCAGCAAGTCGATAACCTAACCTCCACCTTTGACACAAATTTGTGACGCCCCCACGCGCGATATAGTCACGCATTCACATACAGCACATTTGCATGCACTTGCACTATCCTCTACCACCCGCTTCTTGCATCGAATTGCACGTTTGGCCTTCAACTATTCATCCAAGCGCCAACAGCGAGCTGACTCGTCCAAACAAGTCACCAGCCATCGCCCCACACCCGAGTCTTTTGACGTCGAGACTACACCAACACACAAACGGCAAAACCGGCGTGGTGGTAGGACGAACTCGACAGATCGACGATTGTGCCGCTGGCTTCAGTCGACGGTTGAGGGGTGTCTGCTGTTTGACTACGCCGTAAAGCGAGCTTGTCCCGCAATGAGTCGGGCTACGAGGTAGGCTAAGCAGCCCTAACCAGTAGTCCTGCGCAGCTGTCGGAAACAGAGCCAGATGTATGGTTTGCCTCGCGGAGAAGCATAATGGCGCGGTGTTGTCGTAGGCGCCCCAGCAGCGTGCAAGTGGAGGTGAGTCGAACAAAGAGTTGGACACACCGGGGATTGAACCCGGGGCCTTCCGCTTGCAAAGCGGACGCGCTACCACTGCGCTATGCGCCCAGCGAATCGATAACATAACCTCCACCTTCTACACGAATATATGACGCCCCCACGCGCGATATAGTCACGCATTCACATACAGCACATTTTGCATGCACTTTGCACTATCTTCTACCACCCGCTTCTTGCATCGAAATTGCACGTTTGGCCCTCTCACTAATTCATCCAAAGCGCCAAACAGCGAGCTGACTCGTT